TGCGTCGCGGCAAGGGGCGGGGGAGGGGCCCGGCGGCCGCTCGCGGTGGGGGGTGAATTACGGGGGCTAGGCTGCCGCGGCAAGGAGTGCGCAAATTTGCCAGGGCGGCTGCCGCTGGCGAAGGGCATGCCCGGCGCGCTGGGGCAAGATCTAGATCGGTCCAAGAAACAGCTTCTGCGGTGGCGCGCAGCAGCAAATCGTGCGTGGTTTTGCGCGAGGATGAGGCCGCAGGAGATGAAAACCTGGAGGTTGTTGCACTTGCCAAGAGCCATGGTGTTATATTCTCGCGCGCAGGACTGGCGGCCCCCAGGCTGGGGGCCAGGGCTGTGTCGCGTTCCCCTATCGAATGGGCGCCAGTGGCATGCGGGCGGGCATCGGAGGTGTCCGCCGCTGGGTGTCAAGCGCATTCTGTTCATTGTCATACCGTCGTTGGCAGTGGCAGCGCACTCCGCGCCAATCCGAACAATTGGCGCAGTCGAGGCAGACCTTGAAAAGGGGCGCGGCGTGAGTTGGGTGACAAGTTGCGTTGTCGTCGCGAGTGCGCGAAGGCGAACGCTCACTGATCTCTCGGCCTCGCAACGGGCAGCCGCGCGACGATGGCGAGGTGGCCGGCGCGAGGGGGCCGTTGCAGGTGCTCCGAGGGGGGCGTGGATTGGGGGGGGGGGCGGAACCACTGCCGCGAGACAAGTGCGAGCGGTGCTGGCGGAGGCTGCTGGTCGAGGTGTTCGCGAAGTGCGCTTGCAGGGGCAGGGCGAGCCTGCTCCCTGTAAAGTGCGCAGCGGAACTGACAAGCGCGCGCGATGGGGCGCGCAGCGCGCAGGGCGCGGGCAACGGAAGCGGGGGGGGGGGGGGGGCGCGGCGCGACGGCGAGAGGGGGTGACGCAGAGGCCGCCGACGCACCATGCATTGCGAGAAGTGCAGGTGCGTCAAGGCGCAGCGGGACTCGCGCCGCTGAAACGCAAAGTGGGGCGGAAACGCAGGCGTTGCGCGATGCTCGAGCGACAAATGCCTGACGCTGTTCGGAGCGAAGACGGAGATGTCGGAGGCGCAGACTACGCGCCGCGCAGTCGGGGAGGGTTGTTTCGGATATGGGCGGAGGAGCGTGAAGTTTTGACTCGCGGGGCAACCGATCGCATGCGGAAAGCCGAAGCGGATGAGAAAACCGTCGACGTCCGCAGCGCACGGGGGAATTTTCTCGGACGCGAGACATTCGAAGAAAAACCAAGTGGAGCATCATCGGAAACCGAACCAGGCGCGGGTGGTGCGCGGATGTTGCCAGGACCTCGGGCTTGTAGCTCGCAGTTGGCAGGCCTATCAGTGCAGTGTCACGTGCAGAAGAAACTGCAGTAGTCGGCGTTCTCGTGAGGGATGATCGCGTCGCGCGTGCGGAGAAAAATGCACCCTGTAGTGCAAATCTTGCAACTGACGCCAAGTTGTGTGACCATGGTGGACATGTAAGTTGCAATGGTGCCACACGTATCTACGTCCGTGCACAGGACCTGGAAGGATAGTAAGAGGGAGGGTGACGAAAATGATAATGATAATGCTGGAAGGAGGAGAGGGGGAGGAGGAGGAAACAGAAGAGGAGGAACATGAGGATGACGGGGAACAAATTAAATATTGGGGGGCAAGAGGAGGATGGGGGGGAGGAGGAGGCTAAATATGGGTCGGGGTATTCATGGCTGTTTTTGGTCATTATGCCGGATGTCAGAGGGGCACTTTGGGGAGGCGGCAATGGTGGGGTCCTTGGGGGCCGCGTGGAGGTCTTTTGACAGTTTTCACGGGTTTCGTGAGGGTTCCTGGAAGAGTTCGGGGGTCTTCGGGCCTCTTGAGGGCCTCTTAGGGATTCGTCGGGTTTCTTGAACCTCGTCGAACCCGAGGTTTTGTGCTGGCCGCACCTGCCTTTCCGTCGGGGAATCTCTTTGGACTGTTTTCGAATCCTCCTGGTTGCGTGGAAACCTCTGCGGCCATCATGTGGTTTTCTTCCTTACCAGTTCGTTCGGACCCCTTTGGAGCCAGTTTGATGCCTCTTGGGGCTCGCTTTGGGACATCTTGGGAGCCTCTCGGGGCTTTCCGGGGTCGATTTGGAGCCTCCTCAGTGTATCTGGGGGGCGGAGTGCACGAAGTGTCCGGTCGGGTTCCTGCTCTTGGGCCTTTTCTTGGGGCCGTGTGTTGGGCCCTTTTTGGGTTGTCTTGGGTCTCCTTTGGGCGTGTTGGGGAGCTGTTTGGCGGTCTTGGGGCTCTTTTTGGGGGCGTTTTGGTCCGCCTTGGGCCGTTTTTTCTTTTGCGCCGTTTTGAACGCCGTCAGGGCCGAATAATCGTATGCTAAAGATGCACGCTTTCTTGAAGAATTTAGCGATTTGTGCCGGATGGGGCTGTGCAGACGGCCCGAAAAAGCCCCACAAAGTTTTTCGGGTAGTGCCCAAGATGGGTCCAAGACGGTTCAAGAGGGCCCAAGAGGGTTCCCAGAACGGCTCAAGACCGGTGCTCCCGACAAGCCCAATTGCAAGTGATCGAAGTTTAGGCGTTTTATTCGTGCGACCCAGAGTGGTTTGCTGGCCTTTGTTGCGCAGTGGTTTGGCCCCAGCTGCGTGGCCAGAGGGCGGGGGGGCAACCTTCGATGCACCGTGCCTTGGTCCTGGTGGCGTGAGTAATGAGCCAGACTCGGCCCCCTTGCTCTGTGTTCAGTTCCTCTCCTGTCCTTCGGTCGGATCCAGAGAAGCGCAAGAAGCGCTGACGAAGCCTCCAAGACTCCCCTACACGCAGCTGGGATCCCCAAATCAGATTGCCGCAGGTCCCAACCCCGACAAGCTCTAGAAGCGTCCATGTGGGTTCTTTGGGCGCGGCTAGAGCCTGAGCGCGTGCGAAGCGCTCGCGCGGTTCTGGTACACAAGTACTGCGCGTCATGATCACACACCAGTAGCACACATCAACAGCAGTTGCCAATGACAAGCACCAGGCCTATACACCAACTGCAATCAGCATTGACACACACGCACACACACACCGCGACCACGCATTCTCTGGCCATCACGTGCACCAGGCTCCACAAACGCATACACATGTGTTGCACGAGTTGCTTACACACATACCATGCATACCATACACATACTAAGAGAACACCAGTTTTAAGCAATACCATCTTGCATCAACAACCCGAAGCGTGTACACATATGATAACGTTACACATCGTACTCACGAGTTCGAGCAACACATGCAACGGGCAAATGCAACTATCACACATGAGGCAACATGTGCACATACTAAGAAAGCAAGACCTGTGAGCCAATACCATGCAACAGCACTTCCATGACACAGCGAGGCCATTCGCAGCCTCTTGTGAGTGAGGATGGCCAGGGATCGGGCGTCGTTGCGTCTCGTTGGAGGCCTTTCTGGGCACCTCCTGCAGGCTCCTTAGGTCCTCTTGAGGAGGCCTCTTGGGGACACTCCGCTGCCGCGCAAGCAAGGAGGCAGACAGATGCCTTTCCCCCCCACCCCTGGACGGGCGCAGCGTTTGTGTCAATGTTGTCCTCTTCCCTCTGCCTCGCGCTCGCCACAGCAGGAGTCCCTCTCCCGCTTGCGTTTCCTGATGAACAGATGTCGACCGGCCTCGGTGCCAGCGGACTGCGATGGCACAGGATGCGACCACCCTTTTATTGTGAATGTTTAGGGCTTGTGGTCTTGAAGAGGGTTGTGATTCCTCGCAGGCCTGGTCGGGAGTACATTTGCGATTTTCCGTGACCCAGTGAATCTCGTCGTCGTTCTCTCCTTCCTTGCGTTGCGCTCCTTGTCCCCACGTGTTCGCAGGGTATTCTGTTTCTGGAGAACCCGAAGCGCACCGGTGGGGTACACCTTAGGCGATGCTTAAGAAAACCCAAGTTTTCGGCCAGAGTCTCGACTATTCTTAATGTTTCAATGTAAATCCTAAGGTTTTAATATGAATTTTGGTATTTATTCAAGTTCTGAGACTATGAATTTCTTAACCCATGATTTCTTAAGCATTTCGCAAGGTGTATGTATGTGACTCTCTCGAGTCTCTGCCCCACCGCTCGCGATCCACGAGGCACAGAGCGGCCACCCCGGGCAGGCAGAGGCCGTGTTCATACAGTCGGGGCGCTGAAGAAGGAACCCTTCTCGTTGGGGAGGGGTTCCGTGCTCCTTCCTTGTTTTGCAGCTTGCCTGAGGTTTTCCTCAGGTTTTCGATGGGAAGTCGAAGTGTAACTTGTGGGAAAAAAGGGGCCTCGTTCCTTATTTAGGGTTCCTTAGGTCAAGGCCCCGACTGTGTACCGTGCACCTCTCGCCGTCCCCTTTCGGCAGCGTCGACGAGATTCGGGATATAGAGAGGGGGGGGGCCTCCAGATCGTCGGAGTGCGCCGCACGGTGGCGGAGCGAGCTGTGGCCGGGCTGGCAGAGAAGGTGAGCACATTGCTGGGGCGAGGGACTTTACCAGCCTCGAACGTATCCCTATCCCTAAGATTGACACGCCAAGAGGCGATGACAATCTTAGGGATTCGCCCTCAAAAAATAGGGGAATCCCTAAGATTGGCATCGTGACGAGGAGGTGCCCAGCATAGGGAAAGGGATATGTTCCAGGCTGGTAACTGCTGGGGCGAGGGACTGGCGGGCGGAGGGGGCGCGGGCGCGCTGGCGAGACCGCGCGCCGGTAATATGTAGAGCGTCTTGGCTCGGGAGCCTCGAGACGGGGGTCCGTGCAGACGGGGGTCAGCCAGGGCGCCGGATCCTGCAGGATCCTGGGAAGACCCCCTCTGGCTGACCCTGGTTAGCGAGCCGCTCGTGGCCGCGAGGCGGCCGCTCGTATTGGCTGACCCGGGTTTGCGAAGCCCTGCGCTGCAGTTTTTTTTCCTGCATTGCAGTTTTTGGTTTCCTGCTGACCCGGGTCTGGATTGACCCGGGTCAGAAGATCCCCGATTGGCGTCAGTTGCACCATGGGTTGACGGTGGGTACCAAGTGCGGAGGCCTACGTCCAGCACGGCTACGCCATGGTGATCGCGCCGCTGAACGCGTCGCAGCCTCACGAGGAGTCAGGGGCGCCATGGTGGGCCTCTGGGGCCGTCGTCGGCGGTCAGCAGTGCGAAGAGGAGGCATCGCGGAAACTGTTGAATTACCAGTTTGGGATGACCCGCGCGTTTGGCCTCTTTGAGGCCCTCTTGGGGTCCTCTTGGGGCGTCTTGGGAGCCTCCTCGGCCGTCCGGAGGGCATCTGGGGCCGACTCGGCGTCCTCTTGGGCCGTTGTGGTGGCATCCCGGCGGCCATCGTGGCCGTCTTGAGGAGTCCTGGGGCCGTCTTGGAGGTCATCCTGGGCCTCTGAACCCTCTTGGAAGCCCTCTCGGGCGTCGGGGAGGCGGAGGAAGGCCCGTTTTGCGGGTGTTCTGGGCGGACAACAGGAACTTATTTGAAAGGGTTCAAACAAGGGAAAATATTTGCATTCCAGCACCCCCTTGTGATCGTTTTTCTATTCCTTGTTTTGCCGATCGGCGCGGAACCCCAACCCCCCTTCCCCCCCCATGGAGTAGATCTTGGCTGTTTTTTGGCGCCTCTTTCGAGCGGGTGGAGTCTCCCCCAGAGGCAGCACTCTTGCAAACAATCACACTAAGCAGAGGTCTGGAACCAGACCCCCCCTCCTCCCCCCTTTTCCGCCCAATGTCCAAACGCCGAATAACAAAACGCCCTGCTTTGGTCCCTCTTGAGCTCTTGGGCCGTGCTGGGCCTATCCTAGACGCCTCTTGGGGCGCCTTGGACCGTCGCAGGCCCCAACAGGCGAGAATGGTAAAATCCCTGCAAAACCTTCGCGCCATCAATGCGCTTGGCCGTTTGCAGCCCACGGGCGAAAGCCGCAGCGGGTACGTCCACATGCGTCCCCAAGCCCACTTCCCCACACCTCTTGCACGTTTTCGTGGCCCCACAGGGAGCTCCACCGAAGGCCCCGCGAGGCGAGTTCACGTGTGGCTCCCTCCCCACTCTGGCACACCTTTCGCATGGCTCGTGGCCCTGCGGGGAGCTCCACCGAAAGCCCCAGTGGGTGCGTCCACGTGCGGCTCCCCGCCCATTCGGGAATACCTTTGTCACGCTTCGTGGCCCGTGAAGGAGCTACGCCTGAGGCCACAGTGGGTGCGTCCACATGCGGCTCCCCGTTCATTTCGGAACACCTCTCATACGTTTCGTGGCCCCTTTGGGAGCTCCACCTAAGGCCCCAGTAGGTGCGTCCACATGCGGCTCCCCTTTCATGTCGGCACACCGCTCGCAAGTTTCGTGGCCCCTTACGGAGCTCCACTAAGTGGATGCGTCCACATGCGCTTCCCTGGCCAGTTCGGCGCATCCCTGACACGTTTCGTGTACCAATAGGGCGATCCCCCTCCTTCGTCCCACTTGCCCTGCGGCACTCTTACTTGCATTTGGCTGGATTCTTCGCCCAGATTTTTTCTTTAGAGGGGGTGGTCCCCTCCCAGAACAGACACGCACACACAAACACACACATGCACGCGCACGCGCACGCGCACAAACACAAACGCAAGCATAAACACGCGCACAAGCACACAAGCACCACAACACACTTCAACACAAGACAACACAACTCAACACTGCACACCACGTCACAACACACCACAACATACTTCAACACAAGACAACACAACACAGCACACCACAGCATAACATAACACAGCACAACACAACACACCACACCGCACCACGTCCTACACCACAACACAACACATCACATCACAATCCAGCACAACACAACACAGCATACCATCACACACAACGCAACACACCGCACCACACCACAACACACAACACGTACACACACACACACCGTTTTGGCGTCTCGGCCGTTCACGCGGCGACAGGGCGGAAAAGGTCGTGAAGCAGCGAACGCGCGTGCGCGACCTGGATCACCACCGCCTTGGCGAGGTCCAGCCGCCGACCGGGGCCGAGTGCTGGCCTGAGCTCCCGCACCTGTCGGTGCAGGGCCTCCGAGGTGCCGCCGGGCCTTTCCGGCAGGGCACGGCCGTCGGCCAGACGGGACACCGCCCGAGGCAGCCGGGCGCGCTCTCCGACGGCGCGCTGCTCGCGCTGGCCCCTGCCTTGCCACGCCCGCGGGCAGCACCCCGGCTGGCCGCCCGAGCGCCTGGCCACGGTGCTCGCTCGCCTGCCCAAGGCGGGCGGAGGCATGAGGTTTCCTCCTCCTCCTCCTCCTCCTCCTCCTCCTCCTCCTCCTCCCCCTCCTCCTCTCCTCCCTCCTCCTCCTCCTCCTCCTCCTCCTCCTCCCCCTCCTCCTCCTCCTCCTCCTCCTCCTCCTCCTCCTCCTCCTCCTCCCCTCCTCCTCCTCCTCCTCCTCCTCCTCCCCTCCTCCTCCTCCTCCTCTCCTCCTCCTCCTCCTCCTCCCCCTCCTCCTCCTCCTCCTCCTCCTCCGCCTCCTCCTCCTCCTCCTCCTCCTCCTCCTCCTCCTCCGGATTGCCCAACACGGCGGTTCGACTCTGGAGTCGTGCACGGCGGCCGCTGGCAGCACGGTGGGGTGCCTCCCATCGTGAAGAGCGTACTTGGGGCACGGGCTCTGGCGGGAGCTCGTCGGCGTCGGCGCTCTCGAGCAGCATTGCCGCCGCGATGGCCCTGGCCAGGAAGCAGGGCGTCATCACCCTGATGGTCGACTTGCTCAAGTGTTTCGAGATGGTCTCGGCCGAGGTCCTGGGCCTCGCGAGGTGGGCTTCCCGCCTGGGCGGGTATGGCTGTTGATCCAGCTGTATCCTCAGCCCCGTGTGGTGCGGGCGCATGGCAGTGAGTCGGCCCATACATTTCCAGGGCGTCGTGGCAGGCTGCGCTCAGGCGATGACGCTGCTGGCAATCTTGATGCATCGTGCCATGCTCTGTATTGGTGCCCTGTGCCCCGCGCTCCAGCCACGGCAGCTGGTGGACGACGTGTGTTTTGCAGTGGACGAACCAGGCCCATTGCAGCGCGACGGAGTTTGGGGAGGCCATGGATCAGTTCAACGGCGAGCTTGGGGACCTCACGTTGTCCATCCAGATCAAGAAGCTGGGCTGCGTGGCTTCCTCCAGCCGTGCTCTACGGCAGTTCGGCTCGGCGGCGCGTGCCAGCAACGTGAAGGACATACCTTGGATTCGGAACTTGGGCCATGCGCTGGCTGGCCCCAGGGTGCGACGGCAGCAGGAGGTGGCGCGCCTGGTCCAACTTCGACCGCGAGTCCGACGGCCCAGGGTCCTCAAGAAAGCGGTCGGGGCCAGGTGCATGTCGCGCATCCAGGTGGCTGGCCAAACCCCGCCGGTCACGCACAGGGCCTCGGTCAGCGGAGTGGCTGATCATGCGCTGGCGCCGATCAGGTCCACTGCAGCAGCGCTGGCGGAAGTGCGTCCCACGGGCAGCATGTGCATGGGCATGTTCATGCAAGACCAACCGCTGTACGACCCGCTCTACGCTGCGACCGCCAGCATCGAGTACATGTGCGCGACCATGCTCTGGGAGGGCCGACTCGAGCTGACGGCCGCGCAGGCAACGTGGGGGTTCGTGGACATTCAGATGCGGTCCCGGGCCAGTGGCTCCAAGTTGCAGGCGGGCGTTTCGCTGCTCGTCGTTAATTCAAGGGCGTTAAAAACGCCCCTGCCTTGGTTTACGAGGCGCTGTGCGCTGAACCTCCTGTGGGTTGACAGGGTGACCCTTGCATGTCGCGCGTGTCGCGCGGCGTCCTGGCGGCTCTCTGGCCTTTGGGAGCTCCCAGAAGGTTTACGGACCACGCGCGTGTAACCCCGGGTAGGGGCGTTCTTGCATCCCTCAATTAATGGAGGAAATGCAGGCGGCCTTCAGGGCAGGAGCCCCTCGAGGGCCGTGGTCAGGTCAATGGCGTTGCAGGCCGACCTGGGCTCCGAGGCTCCAGCCGCGGGCCTCAAAATATCCGCCCTGCTCTCCGATGGCTTCCGGGTGGACGCAGGGGGACGCCTTCGACTTGGATGGCCCCGACCGCAGTGTCAGAAGTCCATCCATTCGTTCGTGGGCCAGGTGTGCGAGCACGTCGCGCCCGCGCTCGGCGAAGCCATGGTGGCTTTGGACGCCGGGAAAGCCGAGGTCGACGCCGAGGACGCAGCGCTCCCGGATAAGGGCAGGAAGCGCCGAGATGGGAAACCAGTGCGAGAGACAGGGGGCGCCGCCTCTGCCCCGGGCAGCAAGGGCGGCGACGTGGGTGCAGCGGCAGTTCGCCGCTGGCGCACTCGCCCCCGCCGCCCCCGAGGCGCGGCCTCCTCTTCAAGATGGTGGCGATGCCAGGCCTGGCGCGCCCAGTGGCTTGCGTGGACCAGGAGGCCCAGCTAAGTTGGACGCCCGCGGCATGAGTTCGCCGTCGCCAAGCCAGTGGGCGAGGATATTGATCCCTAACTGTTCCGAGAGCGATGGGGCGGGCAGGTCCGACAGCCGCCCGGTGGGGCGCGCGCCGCCCGGGACTTGCGCGCCCCAGTTTTGCGGCAAGGCGCGAGACCGCGAAGGGAGTTTCGGCGCGCCGAGTGCCGCCAGTTGTCCACGGAGGCTTCTGCATATCTCCTGGCCTCGAGACGGGGGCGGGGCCCGCCCCGCGACTCCTCGCGGAGAGCGCGAGGTAACGAGGGATGTAGGGTCGGCCCCGACCCAGAGAATTGGGCGACGGCCACGGTTCCATAGCAGGAGGCCTTGCGCGACGTGGCAAGCCAGTGGATCGTAGATCAGCAGCGAGGAGATCGCCGAGGGCGAGTGGATGCTGGACTGCGGCGACTTCGTCGTAGTGCGGCCCCTCGTTTGCCCCCCTCGGCTCGGCGTCCCTGGCAGGGGGCTCGAGCGGCACAGGGGGCCCTGGAGGCCCGCGAGGGGGCCCGGCGCCGCGGCGGGGCCAGCCGCCGGACCGTGTTGCGGAAGGCGCGGGAAGTCCAGGCCCGTCGTTTCTCGGCCTACCGCGCCGCGCCCAGAGGCCCCCTCGCGGGTCCGGGCCGCGGGGCTTTGGAGCGTGCGCGGCGCGCGGCGCGAAGGCTCTCCGCGCCCCGCCCG